GATCCTCCTGGCTCAGCTTCCTTTGTAGTTGACATTACAGGTGTGTGCCACCACTCCTGGCTTCCAGTACCTGTTATCTTGATTATGTTAACTTTATAGTAAGTTTGATGGTCCATAGTGTTTGACCTTGTTTTTTGTTTTTTTTCTTTCAACATTGTTAGCTATTCTTGTTTTTTTTAACCTTTCCATATAAAATTTATAATAAATTTGTCAATATCATAAAGTAATTTTGCTGAAATTTGGATTGGTATTGTGTTGAATCTGTAGATCAATTTTGGGAAAGTGTGTGAGTGTGTGTGTGTGTGTGTGAGTGTTTTGCAGGGGAACAAACCAAGAACCTTGTGTGTGTGTGTGTGTGTGTTTTGCAGGGGATCAAACCAAGGACCTTGTACATACTAATCAAAGAGCTCTGCCATTGAGCCATACCCCTAGCTCAGGAAAGTTGCTTTTTTCGGGGGGCAATACCAGGGATTGAACTCAGGGGCACTGAACCACATCCCCAGCCCTATTCTATATTTTATGTAGCGACAGGGTCTCACTGAGTTGCTTAGCACCTTGCTTTTGCTGAGGCTGGCTTTGAACTCAAGATCCTCCTGTCTCAACCTCCCAAGCTGCTGGGATTATAGGTGTGAGCCACTGTTCCCGACAGAAAAGTCACTTTTGAACCATACAGATTGTCAGAAAAGTTCCTTTTTCGGTAGGTGTGAACTCCATATTTGGAACAGATCCCATGGGGCTGCAATGGACATGGCCTTTATTCCAGGACAGTCTTCTAGATATCTGAGTATTGTGGGTGTGATATATAGGCTACTGGCCTTTAAGAAAAGCCATGCCTACCTTCCAAGTCTCAGAGTCCTCCTGGGTAAGAGGTGCCCCTGGAAAGGGCTTGGTAATTACTATTGCTCTACAATAGTAATGATGCCACCTGTTTATTCATTCATGGAACAGATAAGGCCAGAGCTTTATATTCCACTTTTACAACTGTATGACCCAGCACTTGACTAGCTCTAGTTTACTAATGGAAGAGGAATATAAAGGCTTAGAGAATTTAGTCTGCCCACAGTCATATTGTGAATAAGTCATGGAGACTAATTGGAACCTAAGCAGATAATCCCTTTTTTTACAATTTGTATTTTTGTTTTTGTTTTTTTGGGCAAGGGATATAGCTCAGTGGGTTGAATGTTTGTCTCACAATTTGTATTTTAATAATACTGAATCATCTTATTCTTGAACATAGTGTATCTGTACATTTATGAAGAATTTTTTTTCAAGAAAGTTTTATAGTTTTCAGTTTAGAGGTCTTTCACTTCTTTTTTTGGTACCAGGGATTGAATTCTTGACCAGTGAGCCACATCCCCAGCCCTATTTTGTATTTTATTTAGAGATAGGGTCTTACTGAGTTGCTTAGCACTTTACTTTTGCTGAGGCTGGCTTTGAACTCAAGATCCTCCTGCCTTAGCCTCCCAGGCTGATGGGATCACAGGCGTGCGACACTGTACCTGGCAGGTCTTTGACCTTTTGTTAATTTTATTGCTAAGTATTCTGTTTTGGTTATATTATAAATATTGACGTTTAAATTCAACTTTCCATTGTTTCATGTAGTATTTAGAAATATATTCATTTTGTGTATATTGACTTTTTATCCTTTTTATGGGGGGGTTGCTGGGATTGAACCCTAGGGTGCTCTGCCACTGAACTGCATCCCTAACTCTTTTTAAAAATTGAGACAGGATTTTGCTAAGTTGCCAAGGCTGGACTCAAACTTTCCATCTTTCAGCCTGTCAACCTACTGGGTGGGGTTACAGACACACATGTGCCATCATACTGGGCTGAATTTATATTTTTTGAACTTGCTGAATTCACTTGTTAGTTTTACTTGTTTATCTATTCCTCTGGGTCCTCTTGTATCTGAAGACATGCTATCTGAGAATAAATATAATTCTTGCTTCCCATCTTTATGCCTTCAGTTTTTTTTTTTTTTTTTTTTTTTTATTACTTGCTTCATGGTACTGGCTGTTACCTCCAGTACAAAATCGAATAGAATTGATGAGAATGAACTCGGCTGTCTAGTTCCCAGTATTTTCTTGTATTCATCATTATTTCCTGCAGATTCAGACTTCCATTTGAGATTATTTTCCTTTGATCTGAAGAAACTTCTTAAATTGTATGTCTGCTGCTGAATTCTTTTAGCTTTTGTCCATCTGAAAACATACTTAACTTTCACGTATAAATGATAGTTTCTCAGGGTTTAGAATATAGGTTGTCCATCTTTTTTTCTTTCAGCGATTCAAATATATTACCTGTTATTTTCTTGCTTCTACTGTTTTAATGAAAAGTCAACTGTCATTTTTCTTGTTTCCTTAATATAATGTGTCCTATTTCTTTGGGTACTTTAAAAAGGTTTTGTTTTTGATTTCCAGCAATTTTGACTGTGATGTACTTGGGCGCAGTTTACTTTTTGATTTATTTGATTTCTGGTTTGCTGAGTTTTTTTGATCTATGGGTTTATGTGTTATCAGTTTTGGAAAAGAGTCTGCTGCCATTTCTGCTGACCCCCATTCTCTTTATCATTCAGTTTGTTTGGTATTGCCTCACAGGTGTTTTGACTCTGATCCTGATCTTTTTTTCTTTGTTTCCTTCTTTTTTTCTCTTTGCCTTAATTTGGATAATTTCTTTTGATTTTGCTGAATTCATTATCTGTTCTCTTCATTATTAGCCTGTTTGGTGAACTTTTCATTTCAAATATCATATGTTTAAGTTGAATATTTCCATTTGACTCTTTTTAAAAATTTTTTTTCATTTTTTTGCTACAATATATTAAATCATCTGTATATGTGATTGTATACATTACTCGTAAGATCTTAGTTATTTTTATAATATTTAAAAGTTTTAGATCATTTCAATTTGAGTCATCGGTGGGCTTGTTTTGACTTTTTTTCTCTTACCTATGGGTAACATTTTCATGAATCCTCAAGTATATATTATATATCCTTGTGAATATCACATATAAAACAAATAAATAGTAAGAATGAAGTTCTTAGTTGTTTCCTCCTGGAAAAAGACATGCCAATTCTTCAGACAGACCAAAGGGTTAGGAGTTTCTGTATTTATTCTTACATGAAATTGAATTATATATTGACTGGATTGCAACTATAGTTTTGGTTCCAAATTGTTTTTGCCCCCTGCTCCCCCCACCTTTGGTACTAGGGATTGAACCTAGGGTCACTCTGCCACTGAGCTGGGGCTGTAGGTCTGTGGCAGAGTGCTTGCCTAGTATGTGTAAGGCACTGGGTTTGAGCCTCAGCACCACATATAAATAAACAAATAAAATAAAGGCATTCTGTCCATCTACAACAACAACAACAACAATAAGAACAACTAACTTGGGATCTGCCTGTCTCAGCCTCCCGAGTTGCTGGGATTACAGGAATGTGTCCCTGTGCTCCTTTGAGTTTCAAGTGTTTTAAGAGTGGATTCAGTCTCCACTCTACAACAGAATTTAGGATTTAAGTATAGCTAGTTTCCAGAGATGTTTCTGCTTTTTAACCTAGCACTTGGATTTCTACTCTTGAATTTCTTATTTTGTCCTTGTAGTCTATCTCTGGATTACTGCATAAAAGCTCCAATGGGGAGAAATTTTTAGATCATGTTGAGTAGCTTTATTTCTGGGACTCCTGGATTTCATTCTATTATTGGTCTGTAGGATTATTTGCCCCTTTGCTCACTGTGACGTTAGAGTTGAAAGCAGGACCCGGGTTCGATCCTCAGCACCACATAAAAAAATAAAGGCATTGTGTTGTGTCCATTTACACTTAAAAAAAAAAAAGTAATCATTTGTCTGTTTACCTAGAAGGGGCTTGTTCCTGAATGGAATTGAGTTTTTCTAATAATACTTCTGTGTATTCTCAGTTGTCTGGGTTTTAAAATTTTGATTTTTTTTTTAAGTTTCTCTAGCTTTTTCTTATTTTAAATAATGGGAATGATTCTCTCTTGTGACCTATGTTCTGACTGGAAGCAGAACTGTCAGTATTTTATTTATTTAAAAAAAAATTTTTTAATGTAAGAACTTAATCATCCTCTAGATATAATGTCATCAACCTAGGCTAGTTGGAGCCCACCTCACAGTCTTCCTCAAGGAGTACCCTAATGGGCAGATCTGCTTTCTAAGCAGTGGGAGAGAGAGAGAGAGAGAGAGAGAGAGAGAGAAGAGAAGAGAAGAGAGAGAGAGAATATTTAATATTTATTTTTTAGTTTTCAGCGGACACAACATCTTTAATTGTATGTGGTGCTGAGGATCGAACCCAGCACTGCACGCATGCCAGGCGAGTGTGCTACCGCTTGAGCCACATCCCTAGCCCTTTATTTTTTTTTTAATAATTTGTCCAGGTTCAAAAGTATTTTTTTAAGTCTTTAATAAATATGAACAAATTTGCTGGCATACTGAGATAAGATAAGCTTTGTTTTTCTTCTCATTCCTGTTGAAAATGTATAAGGCATAGTTTTATTTATTTTTTAATTATAGTACAGTAGTGCTTTGTCAAGCCTAAATTTCCATCACTTAATTGTTTTCCCCTGGATTTTACCTTTCATGAATAAAAGGTAGGTGATGTTATGATAAGTTTTCGTTATAACTACTTTCATTCCACAAGGGTGGAGTTGAATATTTTGGACATACGACCCCATAGGACCTGCAAAGCCTACAATATTAATTGTCTTATCCCTTATAGCATTTTTTGACCCTGGCACTAGACCATGATAAAATGCCAGTGAATAATATTTCAAGTTAAGTAATTTGCCTTAGGTCACATAGCTATTTCTCTGTACTTTTTTTTCAAAATTTAGTAGAGTGTTTTACTTTTATTAAACTGTGATACCAAATTCACATATCATTTGCCATCGTTGGCATTTTCTGTTGGTTTGTTTCTGTTAGTAGACACCTCAATTTTGTGAAAGTTGTTGAAATGAGAAAGATTATATCAGTGCTTTTTTTCTTCTTTCAGCTTTTTTAAACTCTCAAGGAACTTTTGCTATAAAATTATTGCTCCTTCAGTCAGCTTTTTTACTGCTGTGACCAAAAAAGACCTGACAAGAACTATGAGAGGAGGTAAGGTTTATTTTGGGGCTTAATAGTTTTAGACAACTCAGTCCGTGGGTGGCCAACTCCATTCCTCAGGGCCTAAGATGAGGCAGAACATCATGGCCAAATTGTGTGGTACAGGAAAGCAGCTGGGTACCAGGAAGTAGAGATAATAGAATGTTCTCCTTACCACAGACAAAATATAAACCCCAAGGGTATGCCCCTGTTAACCCATTCCTTCACGCATACCTCATCTGTGTATAGTTACCATTCAGTCAGTCCCCATCAGTGGAATGATTGGCTTTTACAACCTTATCATTCCACCTCCAAACTTTCTTTCATTTCTCACACATGAACTTTTGGGGACATCTCACATCTAAACTATAACAATTGCTATGGTAAACTTTTGCTAAATAGCTAATCTCAGTTATCGTAATGTTTCAAAGTATGACTTCTAAATTTTTTTTCATTTTTTAATTTTTAAAATATTATTATTTTTTAGTTGTAGTTGGACATAATACCTTTATTTTATTTGCTTATTTTTATGTGGTGCTGAGGATTGAACCCAGGGCCTCACACATGCTAGGTGAGCACTCTACTGCCGAGCCACAACCCCAGCCCCTCATTGACTATATTTTAAGTTAGATTCCATTGAGATACCAATATGCCGCAGTCTGGCTGGGCACAATCAGGAGCCACTTGTCAAAAGAAACTAACTTTATTTTTAGAACCACACACGCCAAACAAAACAGCCTCTCAGGAAAAACCCTCAGAGCCTCAACTGCCACCACCGGCTTTCCACCAGCCTCTCTCTCCCACACAAGCTTCTCTCCCCCTCCCACAATCCTCCTGCTCTTGAGGCCGATTGGCTGGGTCACGTGGGCGGAGCCAAAAAAGTCCCCCAATGAGCAGCTCCGTGGTCTGAAAGGGCAGGGAAACAGCCCAATGAGCATCACCGCAGAGGAGCCAATCAGCTAGATGTTGCTGGGGCCGAGGAGCCAATCAGCTAGATGTTGCTGGGGCCGCTGTGAGCCAATCATCAGCCAGCAGCTGGAAGTTTGCTGGCAGCTGGAAGTTTGCTGGGGCCCCTTGGCTGTGGCTCTCAACATCTCCCCCTCTCTGTTTAAACAACAAGCATGTGGCTTAGGGACCGTGTCTGTTAGGCAGTCCAATTCAACATATGGTCCTTACCCATCATCGGATGAACTGACCTCTAGGCGTCAGCCTCCTGTCTTAGGTTGGTACCACTGCAATTGGATCATACCCGTCACTGACTACCGGTCTAGCATACAGCTATACTTGTGGATAGGCCTTTGCACCAGTGGGGGGGTGAGGTTCTTTGCCTCACCTCTGTTGGCCCCCGAATTTTAGACCATCACTAGTAGAGGAGGATGCAAAATGCCATGACATTAAGCCAATTGAGGGCTCCTTTGAAAAATTGTACCACCGGTGACATCATCAGCAAAAATACCCCAACACTACCACAAGTCGCTGCACCAACAGATAGTTCACAATGCATACAGGTGAGCTCACAATGTGTCCAGGCAAGTTCTGCAAGCAGTTCAGTGATGGCTATTGTAGAAGCTGTAGATTGGTTTTATCTTTGACTTCACCAGCACTGGGATGAAGATAGGAATTCTGGCAATAATGGCTAAAGAAAAAATTATGTAACATTCCAGAAGGCACTAAAAGAAAACAATTTTCTTAACAATTTACATTGTCTTCACCGGCACTGGGATGAAGATAGGAATTCTGGCAATAATGGCTAAAGAAAAAATTATGTAACATTACCGAAGGCACTAAAAGAAAACAATTTTCTTAACAATTTACATTGTCTTTAAGAGAATTATTAAATATAATGAAAAGGAAAGGTGAAAGTAAACAAACAGATCTGTTAACCTTCTTTTTTGTTTACATATTAAAACAATCCTCAACAGTTGTTTACCCAATTTAAATTAAACCATATAAATCACGTGAAAAAAAAATATTTGGATCCATTTTATCATGAGCGCTCATCATATATGATATATGGACATACGTACATTCAAACATATAACACAAAACACAAGTGTGCACACATAATATAATACATACAACACATAACATTATAGTAAAGGCCTTATAACTTTTTACAGGTGAAATCTCCATTGCAATGTTTAAAAACTCTATAGTCAAAAAATAGAACTGATCAGCAAAACATTAACCTAGGTCTGTATGAGCTCAAAAAACAAAATAGAACTTCATGATATGGCAAAGGGCAATAATAAAATAGATATTGAAAAAAGCATCCTGGTTCTGTTGCAGATGTAAGAATAGCCAAACTGGAGTTTTGGATATCAGTTGTTATGGATTTGAGCCAAATCATCTTCTTTTTGGTCTGTAGAAATCGCTTTAGTTAATCTTTCTGGAATCCAAATCGGCTGCTGTTCTCCCTGTGGAAACACATAAACAGACCCCCGACTCCAGACAATCACTGGGTCAGGACCTTGGTTAATCTCTCTGGAATCCAAATCGGCTGCTGTTCTCCCTGTGGAAACACACAAACAGACCCCCGACTCCAGACAATTACTGGGTCAGGACCTTTCCATTGTCCTGTTAGAATATCCTTCCAAAGTACCTTGGGCTTATGTACATTTTTTGGACACATATGCCTTTCCGCAGCACTAAGTCCTGATGAATCCAAATTTAAAAAGTTTAGAGTAAAAAGGGTTATTTTAAGTTTATCTTTGGGGAATATATACCCCTTCCCAATTCCTTCTTTTTGCTTTAATAAGTACATTTTAATAGTTTGATGAGCTCTTTCAACTATGCCTTGTCCCTGTGGATTGTATGGGATTCCTGTTATATGAGTAATGCCAAATGTTGAGCAAAATTGTTTAAAAGAGGTAGAAGTATAACCAGGGGCATTATCTGTTTTTAACTGTTTTGGAACACCCACAGTGGCAAAATTTTGTAAGCAATGAGCTATAACATCTTTAGTTTTTTCTGCGGCATGAAGGGAGCCCATCAAAAATCCAGAAGAAGTATCAACTGTAACATGCAAATATTTTAATTTTCCAAATTCTGGCAAGTGTGTGACGTCCATCTGCCAAATATGGTTAGGTATCAATCCTCTAGGATTGACTCCAAGATTAACTTGTGGTAAAAAGGTCACACAATTTTGACATTGTTTTATTATTTGTCTAGCTTGTTCCTTAGTTATTTTAAAACGCTTTTGTAAAGTATTAGCATTGACATGGAACTTTTTATGAAAATGTATAGCTTCTTCTAGTGTAGAGAAAATATGTATGTCATGTGTAGTTTTATCTGCTAAATCATTGCCCAAACTAAGGGCTCCAGGCAATCCTGTATGTGCCCTGATATGTCCTATAAAGAATGGATCTTTTCTGTCCCAGATTAGACTTTGTATAGTGGAAAGCAAAGAGAAAACAGTAGAAGAAGGGGAAATCCTACCAGCATCTTCAAGAGATACTATAGCATTAACTACATACTGACTATCAGAAAATAAATTAAATACAGAATCTTTAAACATCACAAAAGCTTGTAAAACTGCATTAAGCTCTACCTTTTGAGCTGATTGTTTGGGTACTAAAAATGTAAAAGTTTGATCAGGGGTAACTACTGCTGCTGTACCATTATTTGACCCATCAGTGAATATATTTGGAGCATTCATGATAGGTGTTTTTCTTGTCATTTTTGGAAAAATTACAGGATGCAATGACCAAAAAGACAATAAAGGATTAGATGGTAAGTGGTTATCAAATGAAACATTAGATTTGCACATGATTATTGCCCAAGTATTTAACTCATTAGCTAACTCATCAATTTGATTCATAGTATATGGAGTAATAATTTTATTGGGAGAAATTCCAAACACTCCCTTTGCTGCTTTTATTCCTTTGAGTATTAATTGTCCTACAGCCTCAGGATACCTAGTAAGAATAGTGTTAGGAGAATAAGATAAATGTATCCATAATAATGGACCTTCTTGCCAAAATACTCCTGTAGGAATATTTTTTGTTGGTAGTACAATAAATAATAAAGGCAAACTTATATCAATTCTATCCAAATGCATATTTTCCATATATGTTTCAATGATTTTTAATGCCTTTCTTGCTTCAGGCGTTAACATTCGGGGTGAATTTGGATCTGATGGACCTTTTAGGATATCAAATAAAGGTCCCAACTCTCCTGTTGGTATTCCTAAATAAGGCCTTATCCAATTTATGTCTCCTAATAACTTTTGAAAGTCATTAAGTGATTTGAGTTGATCTACTCGTATTTGAATTTTTGGTGGACGGACCATGGTTGAGGATAATTGAACTCCTAAATAATTAATTGGAAAATTTAATTGTACTTTATCTATTGCTATCTCTAGATTATAATTTTTTAATAAGTTTGTAAGTGTGGCATAACATTCTAGCAATGTGTTTTTATCTTTGTGTGCTAATAATACATCATCCATATAGTGAAATATTTGTAGTTCAGGATTTTGATTTCTAAGTGGCTGGATTACTTTGTTAACATAAATTTGACACATAGTTGGGCTGTTAGCCATCCCTTGAGGGAGTACTTTCCATTCATATCTCTGATCAGGACCTTCATGATTCAGTGCAGGGATAGTAAATGCAAAACGTGGACTATCCTCAGGATGAATTGGAATTGAAAAAAAAAAAATCTTTAATATCTATAACTAAAACATACCCAGTTTTTGGCAAAGCAGACAACTGAGGAATCCCTGATTGAGCAGGTCCCATAATAACCATCTCATTATTAATGGCTCTTAAATCTTGCAATAATCTCCATTTACCAGATTTCTTTTTGATGACAAAAATGGGAGTATTATGGGGAGATACAGAAGGTTGTATATGTCCTTCCGCTAATTGTTGTTTGACCAGGTCATGGGCTGCTTGTATCTTTTCTTTAGTCAGGGGCCACTGAGGAACCCATACTGGTCTTTCTGATTTCCAAGTAATTTTTATTGTCTCAGTGGCCCTTTCTGAAAATCCAACCCATGTCTGTCTGTT